CTGTGTATTGCACTGTGTTTTGGACAATGGACTTTTCAGAGGCAGCTCAGACCAGGCGACCCCTTCAAACAACCAGGTCTCCATCCCAAGGGGTGAAGTTTCTGCAGAAAGCACACAGGTGGCCTCTGAGGCCAGGTGAGGGTCGCGTGGAGTCCAGAGAGGGCGTTAGGACCTCCTCTGGGTTTACCTCTTGCATAATGGATTGTGTACCTTGTAGATTGATTCCAATAGATGGCATTCTCTGGACTCAGAAGATGTGGACTCCATACAGACATGAAGTTCCGTGTGGTTAGAAATAAAGGAAAACATATTCCATGCAAGTGTAGGGAGGTGTGGACCTGTACCTGCCATGTGGGATAAATGCTAATTTCACCAAAATGGGGAAAGTCAGAACCAGTCACAGGACTCACAGGGGTCGGGAGGGAAAGGACCACAGTTCAAGGGCAGAAGGTCCAGACCTTGTCCCTGGCCATGAGCGATGACTCCTCCACCTGCAAGGAGCCGCAGACAGGTCCCTCAGCATATGTCCCACGTTATTTCCAGAACCTTCCCAAGATCCCCGTCTCTGAACCGTGCATTGTTCCCTCCATGTTCACATCCCAGCTGCATCCTGGGTCTGTTTCTAGTTCTTTCGAGACCAAAATAGCAGCACCCCGAGCGCCACCAAGACCAATCCAGCCACGCCCAACCGGATGGAATTCTCCACAGTGTAGTCTTGGGAGTGGGAGGCTGGGAATGTAGGCAAAGAGGTCACAGAGGTCAGGGCAGGACAAAGTAACCCAGGACGCTGGATGTCCACCCAGGTCACCGACCTCCCCTTGACAGGACACCACCATCTGTGCTGAGGCCATAACAGACAGTGTCTCATACTCACCACTCTTGGGGTCTGAGTTGTTCTGAGATGGGCTGATGGTGTCGGCTGCTCCTGAGAACCAGATAGGAGTGGGGATGTGTGAGTAGTTGATGCCACCCAAGCCCAGGGTCCCCATAGCTCCCCCCTTTCTCATGACCTAACTGCTACCAGTCCCTCCACAAACCCTTTCTCTGCTGGAGAAAGGTCCTGTCTGCTTTCATGGATTCTTTCAAGCTCCCTGGGAATTTTGAATCTAGACTTTGCTTCTGAGTCACTTTGGAGCACCTTGGCTTTGCCCAGAGGATCCAGGATGGGAGAGAAACATGCTTTCTCATTATAGACAATAGCTACTATTCATTCATTTATTTATTTATTTGTTTACGTATGTATATATTTATTTAAATCCTCGGTGGAGGATACTTTTTTCATTGATGTGCAGAGAAATTAGAGTGGAGGAAGGTAGGAGGGAGGGGGAGAGAGAGAGACAGAAAGAGAAAGAGATGTGAGAGAGACACATCGATTGGTTGCCCCCTGCATAAGCCTTGACAGGGGCTGAGAATCAAGCCTGTGACCCTTGACTGGGAATCAAACCCACAGGCCTGTGGTGCATGGGCTGATGCTCTAACCACTAGACAACCACGGCCAGGGCAGGGCTGTAATTAGTTATTCTGATCTCTCTGCTTATTGTGAAATTCCGTACCATGGAAGCTGACTCATCTGGGTATAAGAGCTTATATTTATGCAACAGTTGAGGATGGTTTCAAATATACATACATGTATATATGTAGACCTTGAGCAATTCTTGAGCTATGAGTGTGGACAATTCTATGAATAAAACTACAAAATGCATCTGAACTCAAAAATTAACATTTTGAGCCCAACCGGTGTAGCTCAGTGGTTGAGCATCCACCTATGAACTTGGTTAGATTCCTGGTCAGGGCACATGCCTAGGTAGTGGGCTCGATCCCCTGTGTGGGGCATGCAGGAGGCAACAGATCAATCATTCTCTCTCATATCTCTCTCCCACTCCATTCCTCTCTGAACTCAATAAAAACATACTTTAAAAAATTAACTTTTGAAGCATCTTTTATAAGAAACTTCCTGTTAACAAAAAGTTATTCCTCATAATAAACACATAGATTTAATATAATCCCAATTAAAATAAGAATGAACCCATGTTTTTAAAGTCATAAATGTTTGCAGGTTAAAATTATATATGCAACTATTACCTACAAGTTCCCAGCAAAAGAGCAATAATAGAGAGTTATGCATAGAAAATGCAGAGAGCAAACATGAATTTCTCATAGAGTCTGAGCAGAACCCCCCTAGTTCCTCATGAGCCCTCCAAAGTCCTCGTGAGTCTCAGGTGAGCACTGATGGACTGGAGGCCTCCAGGGGACTCAGGGGCCTTGCAGAGTGGTGCCCACAGGTGGGAACACTTCTCACTAGAGCAGGATGTCCAATGGGGATGGCACCATCCCCCACAGCATGTCCCACCTTGACCAGAGCAGCCACCTGTCCTGCTCTGAGAAGGCTCAGGGCCCCCACCTGTGTGGGTGAGGACTTCCATCCAAGGGGCTCTGGAAATGAGCAGCCGAGGGCGTGTCCTCCTGTCCTCTCTCCAACTCTCCCGGCCTCTCCTCCCCCATCAGCCCAGCCATCGTCCCTGTGCTGCAAGCCAGGCCTGGACACCAAAGGCTGCCAACCACCTGGCCTGTGCATCTCCCACTCCACACACTCTCCAACCTGGTTAGGGACCGGGAGCCAGGCGAACTCTGCAGGGCTCCTGGCTTTTAGTGGAAAACCCCACAGATTCTGTGTGGAACCAGGAGGAGCTGAGATGCTAAGTGGCAGTTTCCCAATCTTTGGTGTCTCCATAACATGGTGGCTCCTCTTGCTGAGCTGAGCCCCCAGGCCTGGTGGATAATCAGTGTACCTGCCCCCTGACTCCCTCAGCTTTTCAATCCCTACAAGGTCACAGTGACTGGGAGCAGCAGGACAGGCCCAGAGGGGGCTGTATCCAGAGCAGGTTTAGGACAAGCCAGGAAGTCAGAAATGAAAGCGCCCCTGCAGGTCATGGCAGGCAGCCCCCTTGTTCAGATGGAAAAGGTTCTCAGGGTTCACTTCCCAGGAGAGCTGAGTCCACACACACTCAGCCCCATTTCCCGGGGTCCCGCCTGTGGGATGTCCTCCTGGGAGCAGGGATGCTCTGGTCTGAGGTGGAGCCACCAGAAGTCAGAAGGCGGGGCCTCTGATTGGTCACTTCAATCAAATCTCACTTCCTCTTGGCTTCACGCCAGTAGTGCCGCCTCCCTTCCTGCCTCAGCCTGTCAGACTGCGGGGATGGGCTGCCCCAGGGTAGGGAGGTCCCTTCCTGTGTCCACCCTTTCACAAATGACCCTCCTCTGTGGAACCACCCAGTGCTCCACCTACTTCCATCACATCTCGGACTTTGCTGGGGACAGAGACAGAGATGACCTTGGAGCCCAGAGAGGACAGGACAGGGCTGCTCCCCTGAGACCAGGAGCTCGGGGGCCAGACACAGGACCAAATGCATGACCTCAGGGAGCACTGAGACCCCTCTGTCAGGGGATCCCCCCTTCACAATGAGCCAAGGTCAAAGGGGTGAGGGGTAGGGCTGCCTTCTCATGACACTCCCCCAGCCTGTGCCCCAATCTCTACTTCTGCCATGACGACCCCACCTGTCACCTGCCTCGCTTCCCCTCTAAGGCCAGACTCAATGGGAGGAGGAGGGGTGAATCCTCAGAGACGCTGGAGCCCGGTTTTTCACAGAAATATTTCCGAGACTGCCAGCCCTGCTGGGCCACAAGGCCTGACCTCCCCACCTCACTCAGACCCCACCTACACCTGCCCTGTGACTGCTAAGGCCCTCCCAGTGCCCACCTGGCACCTTCTGGACCTAGGTGAGGGATAGGACTGAGCAGGGGGAGGAGGATCTCTGAGGGGCAGATCTCCTCTGGGTGACGATCCCCAGAGCCCCTCCCTCCCTTTCAAGCCCATAATCCTTCTGGGGACACGACCCTGAGCTGACAGCTGAGCAGACAGGGTCAGGGGTTCCTCACCTGAGACCAGGAGCGCCAGGGGCTCACTGGGGAGTGACAGCAGGAAGGGGGAGGTGCTGAGTGAGCTGTAGCACCTGTAGGTGCCCCCGTGGGCTGAGGTCACAGGACTCATGGAGAACTGTGCCTGGGACTGCTGAGCTCGGTACTTTGATGTAAGACGCATGGGGGGACCGGCTGTCCCCTCCTTGGACAGAAGGAACATGTCCCTCGGGCTCCGTGACTGACACCTCAGGGTCACGTTCTCTCCTGAGGCCACCCTGGGGCCTGGCTGCACCGAGAGGGAGGGTCTGTCAAGGCAGGTGTCCTAGAGAGAGGGAGGGAGGGTGAGGGCTGCCTGCCCAGCTTGTTCTGACCTGAGAGTCACCAGGCCTCTCTCTGAGGACGCTCCTTTCTGTTTGTCTCTGTTTCTCTGAGCTTCCTCTCTCTCTCCTTTCACCCCCTGTCTCTCTCCCTCCCTGGGGCCTGCACTGTTATTCTGGCCTCACCCCCTGAGACCTCCAATAGGGCCTGTGCAGAGTCTGGTCCCTGACTGAACCCACTGGCTCCTCATCTGCCACCAGGATGTCCAGGGGGTCACTGGGAGCCGACCACTCAGAGGAGAGGTTGTATCCACCGTAGCATCTGTACCGGCCCCCGTGGGAGCTGCTCACAGTGTCCAGGGGGAAGTGGGCCTGAGCGAGCCCAGCCTGGGGCTGCAGGACAAGGCTCTGGGGGAGATACTGTCCCCCCTCCTTGTGCAGAACGAATCTGTCATAGCCAACATCAGAGCGACACTGGAGGGTCAGGTTCTGTCCAGAGGCCACGATGGGGCCCTGCTGGCTCAGGAGGGAGGGCTTCCCAGACTCACCTGGGGAGACCAGACATGAATTACAGGGTCTGCTCCTCCCATAAACCCCCTTCTCCTGGCCTGGCCCCCAGATCTCACTGTCTCTCTCTGTGTCTCTGGCCCATAAACCCCTGTGCTTTCCTCACCCCATCCTCTCCCATAGGATTTCCCTCAATGAAAAAAAGCCAATAATGTGTCTGGTGCCTCAATCTATGGATGAGACAATAATGGGACTCACCTGGGACCAGGAGCTCCAGGGCATCACTGGGTTGTGAGCACACATGGGGGCTGTTCCTGGAACAGCCATAGCATCTGAATATCCACCTGTGGCTGTGGTTCACGGGGCCCACGGGGAACAGGGCCTGGGACTGCCCATTGGGGTAAATGTGTAAGTCCAGGGTCCAGGAGAGCCTGTGATCTCCTTCCTTAGTCAGAAGGAACCTGCCAAATCCCTGCCCTGAGCCACACTGGAGGGTCACATTCCTTCCTGAGGGCACTACAGGGCTGGGCAGGGCTGAGAGGCTGGGTTTGCTGTAGAATCCTAGGGGAGGAGGAGACAGTATGTTAAATGGGCTCACACCTCCCTCATGTCCCCCAGGGCTGGGCTGTGAGAGGGAGACACCCTGAGAGCAGACCCCCTTCCTGAGGGCAGGGACTGAGGCTGGGACCCCTGAGTGTCCTCTCACCTGTCACCACCAGCTCCAGGGGGTCACTGGGCTCTGACCAGCCAGTGGGGCTGTGATAGTAACAGCGATATGTCCTTGCATCATACTCTGTCATGTGTGTGATGGAGAAATTGGCCTTGTCCCCTGGTTCCCGTGGCTTCTGTCTTTTCCATGGTGCTGGGCTTCCTTCTTTCTCCAGACGGTACTCCTCAGTCCCTGGGGTCCCCTGACACCAGATGGTCACGGGGCTCCCCCGGGGGATCACACGGCCTGGCTCAGCCCAGAGGGTGGGCTTGGGGAAGGGCCCTAGAAGGAATCAGAGACTGGGTCACAGGACATTTCCATCCCAGGTCCCACGCCTTGGTCCCAGCTGCCCCCCATCTCTCAGGCATATCTGCACCCCTCCCCCAGCTACATGTGGTGTGGCCCCTCATCCACAGTCAGGAGAGGAACCTGGGACACCTGGGGAGACTCACCTGCCTGCACTGGGGTCCTGAGGTCCACACTCAGCCCTGGAAGAGAGTCCCCGTGAGAGATTTGCCCTGAACCCTGAGCAGAATCCTCCTCCAAATGAGACTTCTGAGTCCTGGGTTCCTGACACACCAGGGCTTGGCTGTTGGGCAAGGTCCCTTCCAGACCAGGGATCCCCTCCGTCCTCCCCTTCCTCCCATCTCACCGAGGCAAAGCAAGACCCTGAGCGTGGGGGTCATGGCGTCTCCTCTCTTTGCACCCCGCTGTGCAGATGCAGGAGGCCACAGTGTCCTCTGAACAGACAGACACACAGGGTGTGGCCACTGGGAGGCTGGCCATCGCTGTCACGGGGCTCTCATGTCAGCAGCCCCACAGAAAGGGGAACATTCCCTTCCCAGAGGCCTGCATCTGATTTCCATGGTGAAGCAGGAAATAGATCCGGAGCCTCCTGAGACACCCCTTGCAGGTGAGGTGACCCAGGGCACGTCCTTCCCTACCAGAGCCTCCCCCACGGGGTCTCCTTCCTCCTCAGCCCATCAATCAGCACCTCCCTGTGGTCCTCACCATGGTCAGTGTCACCCGGGCCTGGAGACGCTTCAGGAAGACGTGGGTCCCTGTGGCCTGCAGAGCTCAGATCAGCAGAGACACGCTCACCCTCCAACTGTGCAGCTCAGGGCGATGTCCCTGTGACAATGAGCACAGAGGGGAAATGCAGGGAAATAAGGGAAGGACACACGTCACTTCTCCTGGCCCCAAGTATGGCTACCTTTCTATCATAGCTGCCCTCTTGGACCTTACCTTATATTTGTAGCAACAGCATCTAGCCCTGCTTTTTGGGGACATGCTTCTGTGTTATTTTTCCTCCTAAGTACACCTTGTTTCCTGTGTTAAAGTCTCCTCCTCATCCTGTGGTCCTGCCTTCAAGCTTTAAGGGACACTGATTTGGGTGGGAGATCTGATGTTGACTTAAAACATTTATGTATGTATGTATGTATGTATGTATGTATGTATGTATTTATTTATTATTTCTGTTGCTTATAAGAGACTCACTTTTTTTTTTAATGCTTATTGTTGGAAGTATTGCAGATGTCAACTCTTTTCTCCCTCTTGCTCCCCTCCACCTGGTTCCCGCCCTCTCCCAGCCCTTCATCACCCTATTACCTGTGTCCATTGGTAATGCATATATGCGTATAAGTTCTTCGGTTAATCTCTTCCTGACCACCTCCCCCTTCCCTCTGAGATTCTTCAGTCCATGCTTCTGGTTCTCTTTTATTCTCATCAGTTTATTTGGTTCATTAGATTCTTTGATCATTTATTTTGACTTTTGATCAGTTGTTGCTAGATATGTATTTATTCTTGTTAGATATGCCATTTTCTTTCTTTCTTTCTTTCTTTCTTTCTTTCTTTCTTTCTTTCTTTCTTTCTTTCTTTCTTTCTTTCTTTCTTCTTCTTCTTCTTCTTCTTCTTCTTCTTCTTCTTCTTCTTCTTCTTCTTCTTCTTCTTCTTCTTCTTCTTCTTCTTCTTCTTCTTCTTCTTCTTCTTCTTCTTCTTCTTCTTCTTCTTCTTCTTCTTCTTCTTCTTCTTCTTCTTCTTCTTCTTCTTCTTCTTCTTCTTCTTCTTCTTCTTCTTCTTCTTCTTCTTCTTCTTCTTCTTCTTCTTCTTCTTCTTCTTCTTCTTCTTCTTCTTCCTCTTGCCATTTCATATTGATTTGTTGGTGATGAACTCCTTTAGCCTTCTCTTCTCTGTGAAGCTCTTTATCTGACCCTCCACTCTTAATGATAGCTTTGCTGTGTAGTGTCATCTTGGTTGTAGGTCCTTGCTTTGTATCACTTTGAATATTTCGTGCCACTTCTTTCTGGTCTACAAAGTTTGTGTTGAGAAATCAGCTGACAGTCATATGGGCAGTATCTTGTAGGTAACTGATTTTCTTACTGCTTTTAAGATTATATCTTTGTCTTTAACCCTTGGTATTTTAATTGTGATGTGTCTTGGTGTGGGCCTCCTGGGGTTCCTCTTGCTTGGGACTCTGTGATTCCTGGACTTGTAAGTCTATTTCTTTCATCAGGTAGGGGAAGATTTCTGTGACTGTTTTTTCCAAAAGGTTTTCAATATCTTGCTCTGTCTCTTCTCCTTCTGGCACTTCCATAATGTGAATGTTGGTATGTTTAAAGTTGTCCCAGAGGCTCCTTACACTATCTTCATATTTTTAGATTCTGTTTGCTTTTCTGATTGGGTGTTTTATGCTTCCTCATATTCCAAATTGCTGATTTAATTCATGGCATTCTGCACTCTACTGTAGAATCCCTGTAAATGATTTTTATTTCAGTTAGTGTACATGTAATTTCTGACTGGTCCTTTTTCGTGTTTTTGATGTTCTCACTAAGATTCTTGACATTCTCCTTAAGCCCCTTGAAGCTCTCATTAAGATCCTTGAGCAACCTTATAAGCATTGTTTTGAACTCTGTATCTAGTAGTTATTTTGCTTCCATTTCATTTAGTTTTTTTTCTGGAGATTCCTTCCTTTCTTTCATTGGGGACATGTTTCTTTGTCTCTGCATTTTGGCTGCTTTCCTGTGCTTGTTTCTATGTATTACGTAGAGCTGCTATGTTCCATGGAATTGGTAGGGTGGCTTTGCATAGTAGGTGTTTTGTAGGGCCCAGTGGCTCAGCCTCCTCAGTTACCTGAGCAGGACACTCTAGGTGTGCCCATTTGTGGGCTGTTTGCACTGTCTTCACTGTGTTGTAGTTGAGCCTTGATTGCTATTGGTGTCACTGGGAGAAATTGACCTCCAGGCCAATTGGTTGGGAGGACCAGTTGTGACTATAATGGAGGAGCTGCTGTGCAGGAGGAACTCCTATAGAGCAGGACTTGCTTCATTGGGGCTTTGGTGCTCACTGAGTCTGCCCCTTAAGTGTGTCTCTGGTGGATGTGCAGAGTTGTAATCTGGTATTGTCTGAAGCTGTTCACTGGGAGCAGTGGCTCTGGGGCCTCCAGAGGGGTGTAAAGTCAGGCACTGCCTGGGCCACCTGACAGGAGCTACAGCATGATCTGTAGATGGCTGCTACTTGTGTTGGGCTTGGAAGTGCCCAGGAGAGGCCAAGCCATCAAGCCAGGTAGGGTGCTGCTAGTGGCAGGCCTTGGGTTTCCTATTGAGTGTTATGGGGCACAGTGACACCATCTGCTGCTTGTTTCAGAGACTTTAGGAAAGTCTGAGTCCTGATCCAGGAAAGGCCATTCATATGGAAAAGCTGCTGCAGACACCTTAGGTGGGGCTGCAAAAGGGGTGGGGTGGGGCTACCAGGAAAACAGTATTTTATAAAATGTTAAATGATCTTCAGGAAGAAGAAGAAGAAGAAGAAGAAGAAGAAGAAGAAGAAGAAGAAGAAGAAGAAACGGTAATAAATATGAGTGATAAAATGGCAATAAATACATATCCATCAACAATTGAATCTAAAGATAAAAACTCATAGATTCAGAGAATAAGTTTATTCTCACCAGATGAGAGGGGTATGGGGGCTGGTGAAAAAGGTGAGGGGATTAAGAAGTACAAATTGATTGTTACAGAATAGTCAAGGGATTTACATACAGCACAGAAAATATAGTCAATAATATTCTAATATCTATGTATGGTGTCAAAATGGGGGTAAGATTTATCGGGATGATCCCTTAGAAAATTATATAATGTCTAATCACCATGGTGTACACCTGAAACTAATATTTAATTGTGTGTCAACTGTAGTTGAAAAATAAAAAATGATTAAAAATTTTAAATTAAACTTCAAAAGCTACTTAACAAAAATAATCTACTTAATTAAAGGTGGTAACAATGACAATGTTTTCACTTATTACCAAACATTAAAAGATTAATGGACTGGCTCAAAGGATAGATCAAAAGACCCCTGCCAATAAAACCAAATGTATGCAGCCATACACTCTTATCCCAAACAAAATCATTAAAGGGTATGTTGTATGAATAAAGAATGTGTTGTCATTATTCAATAAAATTAGCTGATTGCTATATAAATATTCAACAACATGATGCAATAGTGTGTACTAAAATTCATTTTCATTTTAAAAATACTATATTAAACAGACACTCATCACATGTCCTTGAAATACATAAAGTCTGTACAAAATTGGAGACTCAACTGAACATTTATAAGATCAATGAAATGGGTGAAAAAAACTTTTTATAAGAGCAAATGACACAAATGCCTGGTCTAATATGTACAAATTATTAATCTCTCCCATAAGTGATGTGAAAACATTCCTTTGTGAATCTCATCTGGATGGGTTGGTAGTGTGGCCTTGTGTTTTCATGGAAACTGTGCCCCAAGCTTGAAGTAGAAAACATCGTTAGACATCAATAGAAGGGGACTTAGGAGCACTGTGGGCTATCAGTGTGGTGTTAATGGTGTCCCACATCGGCTTGTACTGTTTTGTGAAAGTCAGTTTGTGCATCACCTCCAAAGTCTGAGTGAGGACCTTACATGGGCACTTGAAGTTGGCCATGAAGGGGGCATTTATACCAGAGAAAGTGGCAAATGCCAGGAATCAGTGATTTTTTATATTAAATTTATGGGAGTGCCATTGGTGAATAGCAAGACATAGGTTTCAAGGGTGCACGTCTGTAACCCAACATCTGTGTCTTGCACTATATTTTGGACAATGGGGTTTTCAGAGGCAGCACAGACCAGGCGTCCCCTTCAAACAACCATGTCTCCATCCCCTGGGGTGAGGTTTCTGCAGAAAGCACACAGTTGGCCTCTGAGGGCAGGTGAGGGGCGTGTGGAGTCCAGAGAGGGTGTTAGGACCTCCTGTGGGTTCATCTCTAGCAGGATGGATTGTGCACCTTGTAGATTGATTACTATAGAAGGCATGCTCTGGAATCAGGAGATGGGGACTTTGTGCTACACCAAGGTCCATGTAAATAGAAATTAAAAAACAAAACATATTCCAGGAAAGTGTAGGGAGGTGTAGACCTGTATCTGCCATATGGGATAAATGCTAATTTCACCAAAATGGGGAAAGTCAGAAACCAGTCACAGGCCTCACTGTGGTCGGGAGGGAAAGGACCACAGTCCAAGGGCAGAAGGTCTAGGCCAGCCGTGGGCAAACTATGGCCCGTGGGCCGGATCTGGCCCATTTGAAATGAATAAAACTAAAAAAAAAAAGACCGTACCCTTTTATGTAATGATGTTTACTTTGAATTTATATTAGTTCACACAAACACTCCATCCATGCTTTTGTTCCGGCCCTCCGGTCCAGTTTAAAAACCCATTGTGGCCCTCGAGTCAAAAAGTTTGCCCACCCCTGGTCTAGACCTTGTCCCTGCACATGAGTGATGACTCCTCCACCTGCAATGAGCCATAGGCAGGTCCCTCAGCATATGTCCCATGTTATCTTCCAGAACTTTCCCAAGGTCCCCCTCTCTGAACCATGCATTGTTCCCTCCATGTTCACGTCCAGGCTGCTTCCTGGGTCTTTATCTGGCTGTTTCGAGACCAAAAGAGCAGCACCCCAAGCACCACCAGGACCAATCCAGCCATGCCCATCCGGATGGAATTCTCCACGGTGTAGTCTTGGGATTGGGAGGCTGGAAATTGTGGACAAATAGGTCACAGAGGTCATGGCAGGACAAACTCACCCAGGCACCCCCTCCCTTGACAGGACATAGCCGTCTGTGCTGAACCTTATAACATAGAGTGTCTCCTACTCACCAATCTTGGGGTCTGAGTTGTTCTGTGAGGGGCTGATGGTGTCGGCTGCTCCTGAGAAGCAGAAAGAAGTGGGCTGTGTGAGGAGTTGATGCCACTCAAGCCCAGCGTTCACATAACCCTCCCCATTCTCATGACCTAACTGCTATCAGTTCCTCCATGAACCCTTTCTCTGCTGGAGAAGGGTCCTGCCTGCTTTCATGGATTCTTTCAGGCTCCCTGGGAATTTTGAGTTTAGACTTTGCTTCTGAGTCACTTTGGAGCACCTTGGCTTTGCCCAGAGAATTCAGGATGAGAGAGAAATATGTTTTCTCATTATAGACAACTAGAGGCCCAGTGCACGAAATTTGTGCACAGGGGGAGGGTCCCCTCAGCCCATCCTGCACCCTCGCCAATCCAGGACCCCTCAGGGGATATCCGACTGCTGATTCAGGCTGGGATTGGGCCTAAACCAGCAGTCGGACATCTCTCTCACAATCCTGGACCTCTGGCTCCTAGTCGCTCACCTGCCTGCCTGCCTGCCTCATTGCCCCTAACTGCCCCCCCCCCAGCTGCCTGATTGCCCCTCACTTCCCCCCCTGATGGCGGGGTCATGCCTGTGGGATGTCCCCCTGGGAGCAGCGATGCTTTGGTCTGAGGTGGAGCCACCAGGAGTCAGGGGCAGGGCCTCTGTCTGGTCACTTCAGTCAAATCTCACTTCCTCTTGGTTTCATGCCAGTAGTGCCACTTCCCTCCTCCCTCAGCCCTGTCTGAGACTGCAGGGCCGGGCTGTCCCAGGGGAGGGAGGTGCTGCCTGTGTCCACCCTTTCACAGATGACCCTCCTCTGTGGAACCACCCAGTGCTCCACCTACTTCCATCACATCTCAGATTTTGCTGGGAACAGAGACAGAGATGACCTTGGAGCCCAGAGATGACAGGACAGGGCTGCTCACCTGAGACCAGGAGCTCCAGGGGGTCACTGGGGTGTGACCACACCTGGGGGCTGTACCTGGAACAGCCATAGCATCTGAACGTCCCCCTGTGAATGGGGGTCACAGGACCCACAGGGAACAGGGCCTGGTACTGACCACTGGGCTGTTGCTGTGAACCCAGGGTCCAGGAGAGCCGGTGATCTCCTTCCTTAGTCAGAATGAACCTGTGAAATCCCTGCCTTGAGCCACACTGGAGGGTCACGTTCCCTCCTGAGGTCACGACAGGGCTGGGCAGGGCTGAGAGGCTGGGTTTGCTGTAAAATCCTAGGAGAGGAGGGGGCAAAGTGTTAAATGGGGTTCACACCTCCCTCTTGTCCCTCAGGGCTGGGCTGTGAGAGGGAAGACACGTTGAAATCAAACCCCCTTCCTGAGGGCAGAGCCTGAGGCTGGGACCCCTGAGTGTCCTCTCACCTGTCACCACCAGCTCCAGGGGGTCACTGCGCTCTGACAAGTTAGTAGGGCTGTGATAGTAACAGCGATATGTCCTTGCCTCATACTCTGTCATGTGTGTGATGGAGAAATTGGCCTTGTCCCCGGGCTCCTGTGGCTTCTGTCTGTCCCAGACCACTGGGATTCCTTCTTTCTCCAGACGGTACTCCTCAGCCCCTGGGGTCCCCTGACACCAGATGGTCACGGGGCTCCCCCGGGGGATCACAGGGCCTGGCTCAGCCCAGAGGGTGGGCTTGGGGAGGGGCCCTGGAATGAATCAGAGGCTGGGTCACAGGACATTCCCACACTTGGTCCCCAGTTCTCGGTCCCAGACGCCCCCTGTCTGTTAGGCAGATCCTGCTCCTGCTGCCTGGAGGGTGGCCCTTGTTCCCAGGGAGGAGTGGGACCTGGAACACGTGGGGACAGACTCACCTGCCTGCACTGGGGTCCTGAGGCCCACACTCAGCCCTGGAAGAGAGTCCCTGTGAGAGATTTGCCCTGAACCCTGAGCCGCACCCTCCTCCCCATGAGCCTCCTGAGTCCTGGGGTCCTGACAGACCAGGGTTCCCTCCTCCTCCCATCTCACCGAGGCAAAGCAGGGCCCTGAGGGTGGGAGTCATGGCGTCTTCTCCCAGAGGCCTCAGCTGAGCAGATGGAGGAGGCCACGGGGCCAGCGGAATGGACAGACAGACACACGGGTGGCGGTCACTTGGAGGCCGGTCCTTCCTGTCACAGGGTTGTCACATCAGCAGCCTATTGGGGAGAGCACAACCTCTCTCTAGCAGCCTGGCTCTCATTTTCATGGTGAAACAGATAGTAGACCCGGAGCCTCCTGAGATGCCCCGTCCAGCTGAGGTGACCCAGGGCATGTCCTTCCCTGTCAGAGCCTCCCCCACGGGGTCTCCTTCCTCCTCAGCCCGTCCATCAGCACCTCCCTGGGGTCCTCACCATGGCAGTGTCATCCGGGCCTTCGAGACGCTTCAGGAAGATGTGGGTCCCTGTGGACTGCAGAGCTCAGATCAGCAGGGACATGCTCACTCTCTAACTGTGCAGCTCAGGGCGATGTCCTTGTGACAATGAGCACAGAGGGGAAATGCAGGGAAATAAGGGAAGGACACAGGTCCCTTCTCTGACACCAGATTGTGGGTCCTCTTTCTAGAACATGTTTCTTCATTAAGTTCCCTTTTTTTCACAGAGACAGCCTCCAGGCCCTCCTTCCTGGAAATAAGCCCCAGGGTCATTTTCCTCTCAGGGACCCTCATTCCTCCGGCAGAGCTGTCCTCCTGGGACCATGGCTTGTCCTAGACATTAAAGGACCATAATTTGGGCTAGAGCTTTGATTTGTCGAAGAAAATTCATCTTTTGTGTTCTTGTTAATCCTCACCTGAAGATATTTTTTTGCATTGATTTTAGATAGAGTGGAAAGGAAGGAGGGAAGGTGGGAGAAATAGAGATAGAGGTAGAGATAGAGATAGAGATAGAGATAGAGATAGTCTGCCCCCTGGTGGTCAGTGCATGTCATAGCAACTAGGAGTTCCCCCATTTGGTTAATTTGCATATTAGCCTTTTATTATATAGGATTTTTATTGATTTCAGAGATGAAGAGAGAGGGAGAGAGAGATAGAAACATTAGTGATGAGAGAGAATCATTGATGGGCTGCCTCCTGCACCCCCCCCCCCTCTAGGGATCAAGCCTGCAACCCAGTCATGTGGCTTGATTGGGAATCAAGCTGTGACTTCCTGGTTCATAGGTCGACATTCAACCAGTGAGCCATGCCAGCCAGGCAAACCTCGGTTCTTAATTTGTTGTGAAAGGCTGTTTGGGAAGTGATTTGTGCAAAAAAAATGGTCCCCATGCCCCCATTATAAGTAATGTAAATTGAATTAATCTGTTTCAGACCCCCCAAGTGATTCCGTTTTAACCTTTCTTAAAAACAGAACATATCTAATGTACGGTTTAATCTATAAAAAAACACTTGTCTTCTTAAAGTCATTGAACCACCCTCTACTAGCCTTAAATAAATAACTTTCAGCACACGTCCTAGGGTTGTCTTTTAGGTGCTCACATATCACTGACTCCAAAAGGCTGTCACTGGCTAACTGCTTTTCCTTTATTCAAATCAAATCAACGCCAGTTTTTTGACCTCTTCCATTGTCTGTGATCATTGTCTCTTTCACCCCCTAGCAACATCAGCACTCTTGATGGCCTCTTCAAGTTTTAAAATTGTGCTAATGGCCGTTTTGTTTTGTTTTTTTTCCAGGAACAAACGCATTCTCTCCTCTGTTTGTTGTCTGAGAGACACCTTTTGTCAGCATGAAAGGGTTGTCAGGTGGAAAACAGAAACTTGGTTCCACAACTGAGACATTTTCCCCCTGAACCACTTGGTGGAGAATTGAGTTGTTTGAGATGGGAGATCTTGGAGAACTGAGGTTTGACCGTATTGTGAAAAGATTTCATTCTGAAATAGAACTGGAGGGTATGAAATGGAGAGTCTCACATATGGGTTGAAGTAAACTAAATTTACGGACTGAAAGAGTAATTCCCCATAAATGTCTGATCTACAGGAAACGGAAACACTTTTGGCCAATGAACCTCCATCAAGAGCTTCTCCCCATCCTCAACAATGAAATTTCCCCTTGGACTGTAGTTTCCCACCACCTCCTTGAATTTATTGCCCATAAATACAGCCTGCCTCAAATCCTTAGAGAACTCACCTGTAGTTTATACAGTTTTCATGTCCCGAATTGCAATTCCTCTGGTGTTCCCAAATCACCTCAATGTTTTGGTCATTGGAGCTTGTATTTAAGTTAACACTAGAGAAGTCTGTGGGATCTGTAGTGATGTCTCATTTCATTACTTATATAGGTTCTCGGTGCCATGTCTCTGTTTCTTATTCAGTGCTACTGGATTTTATACATTTTAAGAATATTCGATAATAAATGTTTGGGGCATTATCAATGCTATGGACTGAATGCTTGTGTCCCCACAAATTCATATGCTGAAGCCCTAACCCCCACAGCATGACTGTATTTGGGAAAGTGGGGTCTCTAAGAAAGTAGGTTAAATAAGGTAATAAGGGTGAGGTCCTGATTTATTAAGATCATTTGCCTCGAAACCAGATAAACCAGAGAGCTCATTCCATTTCTCTCCACATTCTCACACCAAGGAAAGGCCATGAGAACACACAGGAAGAAGGGGCCGTCTGGAAGCCCAGGCACAGACCCTATGGGACACTGACCCTTCTGGCTCCTTGATCAGGGATTTTCATTCTCCAGACGGTAAACAAATAAATTTCTATTGCTTAAACCTCTCAGTCTATGATATTTTGTTAGAGGACCCTGAGCAGAATAATATAAAATTTGTTACCAGGACCTGGAAGCAGCTTTGGAGCTGGTAATGAGAAGAAGCTGAAGGGGTCTTGAGGTGCATGCGAGAAAAAGTCTAGGTACTGTGAACGGACTGCTGGTGGATACTGTTAGAGTCACCAAAGGAGGAACGCATGGGGCCAAAAGGGGTAAGGAATTGTGAATTTATTAGGTCCTCTGGAAAATCAGATGGGCTGAGCACCAAAATAGCGCCCACACCCAGGGAGAAGGAGTTACAGATTTTAAAGGACTTTAGGCAGGCTTTTTCTGGGCGAAGGATTCTCTGGGTGGGTCCAGAGGAGAAAGAGAATGGTCTAAGCAAGTGGAATGTGGTCTTAGCCAGTGAAATGTGGTTTAAGCAAAAGGGAATGTCGGTTGTGAAGTGCCGTAGACCAATTCCAGCATGTCATAATTTCAAGAGTTTCATCAAAAGGTTGATGAGACTTGGGGACTCAACAGGGTTGAGTCACACATGTAGTCACCTGTTGGGAATGGCTAAAGGCATTTCCCCAAACCTGAATAGGAAACTGATTGTGGCTGCCAGACAGTTAAAGGGCATCTTAATCTACATGTTATTGCCTCCTACTGGCCAAACACCTGTACAGCCGTAGGCTAATTCCCCCAAACTGACAATGCTTCTGTACCCTTTGAAATCTTACCCTTTGAAGTGTATTGTCTCCACCTTGCCTTAGGACAAATTGTGTTAATAAAAGCAAGGGTCCTAGGCAAGGAGGTACTCTTCAGTTCCTTTAGCTGAAGGTCCTCTGACCCCCAATGCCTTTCAAAATTATATGTCATCTCCGGACTTTTTATTAGTCCCTGGATTCCTATGTCATCTACCCACAGCCTTTTCCAGATTCCTGAACCCTTCTTGATGCTGGGCCAAGAACCCTGGCAGTGAAGTGGTCTCAAGGCCAGTTCCTAGGGAAAGGGGTATGGATTCAATTATTTGATCAGACCTAACAGATACATGGACCTTCATGGTCATTCTGGTGATGGCTCAGAGACGTGGAGAGAAAGCCCACCTTCTCAGAGAATGCATGATGAATGGTGAATACAATGTTGGCACAACTACGGATGGTAATATCCATTTTGGTGAGTCCCCAGATGGAAATGGTAAAGATAGTCTTAGACAATGGAAAAGAGTTTATCATTGTTATGAAGGGGCAAATAACTTGGATTAATTGTTTTCTAATGCTTCTAGAAGGTAGAATGTGGGACCCATAAAACTGTACATTTAGCTGAAAACATTCCTAAGCAAAATGGTGGCATGTGGCCTGGATCCTTCTGAATGCTCATGGTCACCTTTGAGAGGAGAGAGACAAGTTGAAGAATAAACTGTGAAGCAAATGGACCCACAACTTAGTGATTTGGAAAATTCTTGGCTGTTCCTGTTGCTACAGATGAGAGTGGGTTTGGGGGAGAACTGCACAGGCAGGGATGGACTGTCGGTCGGCAAAGAGATGATGGGATTGTAGGAGCAGAAACACTGTTCAGATACTACAGGCTGAGATGATAGTTATCTGTCTGCAAGCGTGTGCTATGGTGGCAGGATAGTAAGAAGCAAGGGAAATTCCTTGACAAATGGAATGAGGGAAACTGACACAAAATATTAAACAAGGCCAAAGGATTTGAGCAATTTATAGTCAGCTCAAATCCTTTAAAACCATGAATCACAAGGTTTTATCTTCTCTAACCAATGACACTTAGGAGCAAATGCTTTACATATTCCAGACCATCCTGGGACAGAGTGGCCTCAGTCCCTGTCCCCCTTCAATGATGTTCTTGATGACTGTTAGGTCTGATCAAATAATAGAATCGATACCCTCACCCCTGGGAAATGACCTTTAGACCACTTCACAACCGACATTTCCTTTTGCTTAGACCACATTCCATTTGCTAAGACCAGTATCTTTTCCCTCTGGACTTGGCCAGGATCTGGACCTGCCCAGAGAATTTCCCGCTGAAAAAGCCCACCTAGAGGCCTTTAAAATATCTGACTCTCTGTCCCTGGTTACTGGTGCCATTTTGAGGCTCAGCCCATATGGTTTACAGATGACCTAGTAAATTCATAATTCTTTACCCGTTTTGGACTCCTATGTTCCTCCTTTGGGGACCCTAACATTTGGTTCTGAAACCCAGGAGGGTTCCACAGGTCATCCCAAGTTTGCTACTCAGAGAGCAGTAGGCAGCGGCAGCTTGTCTTGGGCTTACCTCTGAATCCTGTGCTGCTGGAGGGACCCCACTCACTCCGCAGATGCCCTTCGAGCAGCAGCACCACCCCCCCAGGTGTGGTTGGGGAGGGACTGCAGGAGGTTGGCTCCAGGGCATGTCCAGCTTGTCTCACCCAGTCCTGCCCCACTGGCCACCTTCTAATTAATTTCCTTTCAATGTGCATGAATCCATGCACCGGGTCACTAGTTTTAAAAATAATGTTCTAGAAATTTCAATCTGTTCTAGGAAGAAACTTGCAAAGATTCAGAGCCGAGTTCAAACAGGAAAGTCTCAGGAGTAACAGGTATCCTGTCAGTGACACTGGGCAAGCCTAGAGTAATAGTTCCCTATGGAAGGCATCTGGTAGTAGTTCTCCAAATGTTTGTGATCCATACATTGGGGTGTTTATGAATTGCTTCCAGTGCTCAATACACACTTCAATGAGCCATGTGCAATGCTTTTAAAATCTTGCATATTGTTTGCTCTTTATTTTTAAAAAATTCTATGTGGAATCTAAGACCAAACTAAACCCTAAATGTATCTAGTTTTCTTAAATATTTGGCTACAGCTCCCCAGTCTAACGTCTCTTTCCTTCCACCAGACCATTTGTCATAATTATTTTTGTTCTAGCTTTTGCCCCAACAATACTAACATTTATAAAACAGATTGTCTCCACCAGGTTACAAGCCCTACTTGTCCTCAGGAAATACCACTCCTAGACACCATCACAACTTCATTTTGTGCCCAGGCCTCATCGTCCCTCTGACAGAGAGCAAGGATTTTTGGCTCTGAAGGAAAACGTCACCCCCTTTCAGCAGGAAGCAGTTATGGAAGAGACCCTGTGGCCCCCCCTCTTCCCCCCTGAAAGAATTCAGCCAAAAATCTTTGAGGAGGGAAATGTTAGGCATCCCCCCACCCGAATGTTAGACCTTCCCCCACTCCCTGACACTAGAGCAAGGATGATGGGTAAGTACAGAAACTCATCAGGGAAGAAAGCTCCAGATGCCTAGCAAGGGGAAAAACTAGGAAAACAAGAAACTTACCCCCAGGGGTAACCTACCTCCCCTTTCATATCACTAGTCAGGCAGTTTAGACTCCCTGAGTAACATCTCTAGATGTTATCTCTTCTTCCCTGAAGATAACATCTAGGCCTCAGTTGTATTTCAGCTCCAGGCCCAGAAAAGCAGCAAAACCAGACAAGTGACACTGTGGCTGCCCCAGGACCAGCTTTTACTGGTACCTCCCAAGTCATTCATCAGGACTGTTTCCTGGTCTTCACCAACCAGTCTCTCAGGAAAAGCATTCTGCTTCAACCCCACCACTCCAACCATGAGGAGTCTATAGTGTTCTAGCCAACTATAATCAAAGTCCATCCCCCTATGATCTTGATGTCCCCTCAGCAGGAAGTAACTATGAAAGATATGACCTCCATCCCTATTCCATAAAACAAAAAGGCTAGAATGTTAGGTCTGATTAAGTCATTGAATCAATACCTCCTCCCCTGGGAACTGACCTTTAAGACCACACTCCATTTGCTAAGATCAGTATCTTTCTCCTTCAGACTTTCCCGGAATCTGGACCTGCCCAGAGAATTTCCTGCTGAAAAAGCCCACCTAGAGTCCTTTAAAATCTCTGACTCCCCATCCCTGGGTATTGGTGCCATTTCGGGGTTCAGCCCATCTGGTTTACAGATTACCTAATCTATAATAATAAAAGCATAATATGTTAATTAAACCAGAAAGTCGAACGACCTTACAGACTCCTTCTGGATGACCTTCCAGATGAAGCCGGGGCTGCGAGAGCTGAGGCAAGCCACTGTGGCTGCTAGGGCCAAGCCCCTTGCATGAATTTCGTGCACTGGACCTCTAGTAAATTTATAATTCTTTACCTCTTTGACCTTGTGCATTCCTCCTTCAGTGACCCTAACAACGATGTTCTTTAAAAACAAAATGAACCAGAAAATAACCCCTGACCACCCCCACCATGCACATTTTGCTGAATCTACATATTGAAGGACACACCTGAAAAGCTAATGAATGTTCTGTTAAGACCTTCCCCTGAGACCTCCTCTAGGAGTCCAGCCTTCCAAAGAGAGATAAAAAGTCTCAAGACAAAGGATCCAGCTCATGCTCTCTTGTTAGAGCACACCCACACCTTCTTATCTCTGCTGTTTTTCTCCGAAATTCTAAGGGACCCCAGGAAATGTGAAACCTGGGGAGCAGTGGGCAGTGACAGCTCATCCTGGGCTTACCCTCTGAACCTGTCTCCAAGACCCCCTTATTCTCTAACTTCCTCTCTCCTGTTGCTTCTTCTACCTTAAGTCCTGTCTTTATTTCACTGTCGCCAGCTCTAATGAACTTACTCTCAAAAGCACCTAGACTTGTGTTGTGATATTTTTTCTACACGGAGTTAAGAACCCACACACTACCAGTCAGCCCAAGGTAGCCTAGCTCTGGGCCCAGACCCTGTCCTGTAACACTATTGTTCTTCAAGAAAAGGAAAGAATTACCCCAAAGGCAATTCAGAGGTGATCAGGGCTGCCCCATTGACTTCAAAGTTAGAATCACTTCCTTGGTTTCAACAGGGCAGAGGGTCCCCACAGGGAGATGAAGGTACCGTGTCACCCAGCTGAGCCATGGAGGTGACGCTGCCACCCCATGTTCTGGAGGGCAGAACATCTAATCTAATCACTATTCTGAAACTCATACAAAATAATACTGAATGTAAACTGTAACTGAAAAATAGAATTTAAAAAAATTGAACCCAAAAGAGACAAAAATGATCTAACGAAGGGTTGCCTTGCTGGATGTTGAACGTGCTTAGAACCCATCACTCTTGTCTTTCCGATGTTTCCCTTTCAGAATAGGAATATCTCTCCTACATCTGCTGCTGTGGTGCATTTTGGAGCTTGTCTCAGTCACAAGTTCATGACTGCAGAAGGATTCTTCCTTAAAAGGAGTCCTATCCCGAGTCTCACTCATGCCTGACATAGACAATAGGTAGATGAGACTTTGAATTTTCAATTTGATAGGTGATGCTGGAAAGAGTGGAGATTTGGATCACTATAGAGCTGGAATGAATGTATTTTGTGTGGAAGAAGGACACAAAATTGGGGAACGGGGGTGCTCAGAATGTTGTGGACTGAATGTTGATGTCCTCCCCCCTCAAAATTCATGGTAAAGCCCTTAAACCCCCTGTGGCTGTATATGGAGATAAGGCCTATGAGGAAGTAATTAGGGTTCAATGAGATCATAAGGCTGGGACCCTGATCAGATATGTTAGTGTCCTTAAAAGTAGAAACACACCAGGGCTCACTCTCTCTCCCTCTCCCCTTCACACACACGCCAAGGAAAGACCATGTAAGCAGAAGCAAGAAGGCAGCCATTCATTCCCAAGGAGAGAGGCCACAGAGTACACCAACACTCCTGGCACCTTGATCTCAGACTTGCAACCTCCAGAACAGCGGGAGAATGGATTTCCATTGTTTTCTGCTCTGCCCAGACTGTGGTCCTTTGTTATGGCAGCCCGGGAAGACAAACACAATTGATTTTTCTCTTTTTTTATTCTTTTCCATATAAATATATGTTTTTATAATTTTTATATCCTTCCATCCACTGCGGTGGGATGCATTTGTTATTCTTTGACTTCTTTAAATGCTCACCTAGGTGGCTGGGTGTCAGGCTTTCTTCTCTTTCTAATAACTCCATTTAGGTACTTAATTTTCCCAGTTGATGCGTAACAGCTGCATTTCCATTCAAGTAAGAATATGAGTCACATTATCTTTTAAGTAAAAAAAAAAAGTTTTATCTTCATTTGTGATTTTCTTCTCTCGATCACTAATTATGTAGAAGTGTATTGTTCTGTTTCTAAAGATATAGAGCTCATCTTTATCTTCTTCTGCAGAATTAGGTGACGTCTAAGGTCTCTTGACATCCTGCTTGCTTACATAACATCCACAGGCTCAGGTCAGTAGCTGAGTGTCCATGGGGGCAGCTCCTATGCCTTCTGGGGTCCCTGCATTTCCCCTCTCTGGAGTGGGAGGTCTGAGTCCCTCCTGGGCTAGTGGATGGCCAGAGAAGCATATACGCTGGGCTCAACTTGGAGCTGGTCTGACGGGGGAGGAGGGGGTGCAGTTGTCTCTCGTTTGAGGGTTAAGTGATTCAGCTGGGCGTAGGTCACATCCTGGGCATCCTCAGATGGAGTGTCCTGGAGGGGGCAGAGCAAGAGGCAGGTGGGTGATTGAGGTGGCGAGAAGTCAGGGCACTGGGAGCAGAAAGGACCCATGTGACTGTCCATCTACTTGTCCTCTCCCACTTATCTGTCTTCTACATCCAGAAATTCCTCTGACAGGACGGAAGGCAGGGTGGCCACCCCCTGCCTGAGCCTGGAGTGATTCCCCTGGGGGTATTAACAAGCCTTTGCTGGGTGTCCTGGACAGGGCAGGGATCTTACCTGGCTGTTCATCTTTCTGTCCTCCTCAGGTTGGGATTCTCTTATGGAAGCATCTAAAGAATGAGAAGATTCTATCTCATGCAAGATTCCTGAAATCCCCCAATCCCACACTCTCCTTGAAATTTAGGTGGGAAGACTGAGGTTCCTTGAGGGGTGGGGATGTGCCGGGGACCACACATATTTGGGACTTACATGCTTCCTCACCCCTAAGCTCAGAAGCCTTCCCAAGCACTCCTCCTGCCCCGATGCCCCACAAAGACCTCACCTCCTCCATAGTTACTGGCACACTGGTTCTTCTCCTGGACATCAGCCATGGAGCTGGAGCTGAGCAAGGGGGGCAGGAGTGTTAGACAGTGTGGAAGGAGCTACAGGTAGAGGTGGGAGGGGTTGGGGAAGAAATTACCTTTTCTGCAGTGCTCTGGTCTTCACTTCAAGGTTCGAAGCACCTGTACAAAGTTGGAAATTAGCTTCCAAACTAGCCCAGAACCAGGCCCCCGGGGCTCCACTATACCTCAGAGGCTGTGATCCCCACCTTGGTTCATTTGGAATTCAACATAAACAAAGTTAAAAGGTAGTGCCTCAAACTTGCATGGTTGTTTTAAGTAAAATTGTGTGAACCCAAAAAAACATTTTTACAGTCTAAGTCTGTTCTTATTACATCTCTGCTCTCTCATAGAGGATGGTATTTAGAAGCCAAGACCTGGATGATAGGTATGATAATTTCTAGTGGGCTATCACTATGTCTAGGTCTGAGCTAGTACACACAGTGCAAACACTATACCTCTAACTATTTCTATGTCAACTAATATATATGATATATACACACACACACACACACACACACACACACACACACACACACTGAGTGGCCAGATTATTATGATCACCTGACATTTGTAGGCAGGGGAGGGCAGTTTGGGGCGACCAGGCCAGCAGGGGAGGGCAGTTGGGAGCAATCGGGCTGGCAGGGGAGCAGTTAAGTGTCAATCAGGCTGGCAGGGGAGTGCTTAGGGGGTGATCAGGCAGGCAGACAGGTGAGTGGTTAGGAGCCAGCAGTCCCGGATTGTGAGAGGGATGTCCGACTGCTGGTTTAGGCCCGATCCTTGGGCCTAAACCGGAAGTCAGACATCCCCCGAGGGGTCCCAGATTTGAGAGGGCCCAGGCTGGGCTGAGGGACACCCCCCCCCAACCCAGTGAACAAATTTTGTAGGCAAATTAGTGGTGGTCATAAAAATCTGGCCGCTCAGTATATATATAATTTGTAATTAGGTCACACTGTAACAGAATGAAAAGCACATAATCTTTACGCAATATTGTACTAACCAGAATTAACTGTGCTAACCAATAAACAAACAAGTCTGTTGGGACAGAAACAGGAACAACCTTTCTTTTTTTTCCTAACAACCTCTATTTTAGCTTCTACTTTAGTACATTGCATCAGTTCCAGTTCCTGTTCAGAAAGGAGCAGAGCAACTGATACTGAAAGAGTCAGCATGCTGCTACCAAGATCTTTGTCGGAACCAGCAAGAACGCTGCCTACATGTCCTCACTTCCCTTCCCTCTTCTTTAAGAAGTCACCTACTTGACCAGAGATGTTAAGATGGTTGGTTTTTTAGGAAAGGAGTCCGCCAACTTCTCAGATCGTCTTCACATGAATAAAACGTCTATCCTTTCCACCAGCACCCGTCTCACCTGCCTCAGCTTCTGTCACAGCAGGCAGCCAAACTTGTATTCAGTAACAATACTGACATCTTCAATTCCAATGGAACGCCTCAGTTTTTCCTAGCCAACTGTCTTTGCACATTTTTAAATTCTTCATGGGCATTTCACCCCACACCTTTACGTGTTTTCTTTCTCAAAGCAATGAAACTCCCAACTACTTCGACGCCACCCCCATTCCTCACCACCATGCCCACTCCCCACTTCTCTCGACTGCAGGCTGACAAGGACACCTTCTCATGGCTCCCATCACCACATGGTCCCTCAGGTTCCAGGTGCACCCCTGCTACCTCCACGCAGGACCCCTCCTGTCACAACTGTACTTACATGGAAATCCTCTCAGGTAGACAAGGTCTCCCCATCCTCTACTCACCTGACCTCCTGCGTTTGTTCCGATGCTTGAGGAGGAAGAAGAGGAGGAGGAGGAGGAAGAGCAGCAGGATGAAGGCCACAGAGACTCCGATCAGAATTTCATGGTAGTTTTGAAGACCTTGGACACAACGATGTCATGAATGAGCCAATGATGCCACTTAATTGAGCACCTACTGTGCGTTAGGCACGTTTGGGGGGGTCTGTGAATGAATCACCTCTCACACTATAACAATCAAGCAACATGTGAATGCCAATCCCCATCCATTCATTTCACAAACGAGGAAACCAAGGCTCAGAGAGATAAATCGGATTGATTGCCTACTGCATGTGCCCAGCCAGGTAGGAGCCTGCAACTGAGGTAGAATTGAACTCAAGGCCCTTCAGTACGCAGGCCAAGACTCTATCCACTGAGTCAAACCAGCTAGGGGTGAGCATGTCTTTTTAAAAAGAAAGAAAAAAAAAAGATCCTAAAATTAGGTAGCGGTGATTATTAGATTGTACAACTCTGAATGCAATAAAAACCACTGAATTGTACATTTAAAAAATAATAATAGCAATAATTTAAAAAATAAAATCACCATCCCAGGGAGCACTGAGACCCCCGCCCACGACAGTGAACCCCACCTGTTTGAGCGTCATAAGCCAAGGATGGGGAGGTGAGAGCTGGCCCTGCCTTCTCCCCATTGAAACCTGGCTACTGCTCCCCTAAGCTGGGCCCCACATTTCCCTTGGCTTTGACTGCCCCACCAGCCTCAGTCCCCAGAACACAAGCTCATCCCTGAGTATGTGAGGGGCTGCTAGATCCTCTGAGAGGCTCTCTGAGCTGCCCTGGGTTGGTCTGTGCTCCCCCAGAGCAAAGAGGCCCCAGCGACTCACCATACGTGGAGGTGAGCTTTGGGGGTAGGGTGCTGGGGTC